TCAGCCTCATCTCTTACACCACCCAAAGAGATTCTGTGGAATTTTCGACCGAGCGCATTTGCAATACTTTTACCCAATGAAGTTTTTCCAACACCTGGAGGACCAAGTAAACATAGAATAGGTCCTTTCAGATCTTCCTTTAATTTTAAAACGGCCAAGTATTCCAAAACACGTTTCTTAACTGACTCAAGACCATAATGATCTTCTTCAAGTTGCTGACGTGCTTTGTAGATATCTAAAATATCAGTGGTGGATTTACTCCATGGAATTTCTGAAAGCCATTCTAGATAAGTACGAACGACTTGATATTCTGCCTGAGTTGGGTGCATACGTTTAAGACGCTTGAGCTCTCTTTGTGCAGCTTTATCAGCTAAATTTTTTTTATTTTTAATAAAAAAAATTTTTTTCAACATAATTATTAAATTATTAATTTAAATTTCAAAATCATTATTTTTTTACCTTCTACTGAGAGTTCAGCTTCTTGTATTCTTTTTGTTAAATCTGAAATTTCGTCGTCTTCACTTGGTGTATCGTTCTGTTCCCCTAATTCTTCTTTAATAGCATTAAGCTTTATAATTTGATGATTGTGAAGATATAAATATTATTAACAAGTGATATTAAAAGAATAGATAAACAATACGAAATATAAATCTTTACTTGTTGTCGTAAATAAAATTCTCTGTGTTTCCTGTTCAATTTTCCTTCAACCGTTGAATGAATCTTTTGAGATATCTTTAATAACTAAATACAGCAAAAAAAAAAAAATTTAGTCAATAAATTTCATAATACCTTTAAAGAGGAATGAATGAAATAATATTACATGTATTTGTTTTGTCAGGAGTTCAATTGCAGTTGACATTCGGGTTTTCAAATCATGGGCATCTAATATTTGCTATGTATAAAAATAATTAATTGATTTAAAATTACATATAAGAAAATTTTTAAGGGGAAAATGAGGTCGATAAATAAATTACCAGCTTTTCTTCATACGAAGATTCGATCGTACTAATCAATAAATCAGCCAATGTTCCGGCAGAAGCATTTTCAATAAACTTTTGAAGTTGGGTAAGAACAGAAGTTGGAAGTTTCAAATCTTGTAATAATGCAAGTAATTCACGTCCAGTTGACTTTAATGAAATGGCAAGCTCTTTCAATTCTTGATCATCATCAACAACAGAGATTTCAGGGAAGGTGGTCACTTCAGCTTCAAGATATGGTCTTTCAAGGACATATCTGTCAACACGAATACGAACAACGCCTAAAGTACAAACAATTATAAATTTAAAAAATCCTTTTCAAAAATAGCCTATTGAATAATAATAGCCATTTCTCACCTTCGACGACCACTATAAAACCACCTCCAACTGTTCTTTCCAATTTAATTATTCGAGCAGCACAGCCAAACTCGTGCAAATCTGAGGGTTGTGTTGCTTGATTGAAGGTCTCTTCAATTGTCTTTTTTGGTGTAGAATTCCTATTGACATTCCGTGTCAAAGTAAAAGGAATAGTCGAAGATTTGTCGGTATCTTTAGGCTCAGACCGTTTCTGAGGTGGTTGAACTGGAACACAACCAATAATATATTTCGACTCTTTATTGTCAGCAGATTTATAAATTCTTTGCATTAGTTGAACCGTCTCTTTACGGCCAATGTTAAGTCGAAGTGCCAATCCGGGAAGTAAGACTTTATTCCTGATTGGAACAATTGGAAGGACTTTAGGTATAATTATGATAGAATCGTTCATTTTTGTTGAGAGAAAAAAAAAAGCAAAAGGGATGCGCCCAGTTAAATAAAAACGCCAAAAAACACACGAATTCCAAATTAGGCATGAATTAATCAGATAAGATGGAATCATCTCATGTGCATCAAAATTTTTTTTCACAATCTTCCTGATTCTTTTGATGTCCTTTAAATTCGGACTTTCACGTTCGTTCGCTCGAAATATCAACCAGTCATCACAACAGGTCATTTAAAGCTCATTCTTAAGTATTTTATTGAGACACTTTTAACGAGTATTTAACTTGGTATATATATATATATTACAGTTATTGAGCAATATGGCACGCAGAAACGTTTCAGCCGCTACAAGGAAACCGACAGTTCCATACCCTGAGGATAATAGTGTTGGACCAATGTTACGTTATGAAAAATCGCTTCCAAAGCTTCCTGTTCCTGCTCTAAAAGATACTCTTGAGAAATATCTTAAATCCGTTCGACCTTTTGTAAACTCCGAGGAATTTGCAAAGACAGAAGCTGCTGCAATAGAATTTCAAAAGCCCGGTGGGATTGGCGAGGAATTGCAAAGAAGGTTGCTGTCAAAGGCTAACAATCCCAATACGATTAATTGGTTGGAGGATTGGTGGAATGAAGTCGCTTATTTTGGCTACAGGGATCCGGTCGTCGTTTATGTGAGTTATTTTTTTGCTTATAAAGACGATAAACTTAGGAGAAACCCTGCCACACGTGCTGCCGCAATTGTGACAGCAGCTTTAGAATTTCGAAAACAAGTTGTCAAGTAAGTGGAAGATTATTTTAAGTGAACTGTGCGCCTCACCGCATTCCTTTCTTTTAAATCGTTTTTTAATGTAGCCAACAATTAGAACCAGAATATGTAAAAGGAATTCCGCTTAGCATGTATTCGTACAAGTTCATGTTTAATGCTTGCCGTTATCCATCTAAACCATCAGACTATGAAGCGACCTTTGATCCAGCGACTAATAATCATATCACGGTAATTCGTAAAAACAAATTTTTTATTCTTGATTTAACCAAGGATGGAGTTCAGTTGTCGACTGCAGAAATTGAAAGGTAACACTATTTCATTTTTCTGTATATTTTAAATTAAATATTTAAATCATTTTTTTTTTTTTTAGTCAACTCAAAAAGATTTACGAATTAGCTGGTGAAAAGAACGATCCTCCAATAGGAGCTCTTACTACTGAAAATCGAGATACTTGGACAGAAGTAAGTGCATAAATAATTTTTTTTTTTCTATGAACGTTAATTGATTCGTATTCGCTGATTTAGTATCGAAAAATGTTCTTGGCTGCGAATCATAAACATGAGCAATTACTAAAGAAAATTGAAAGTTCAGCATTCGTCCTTTGTTTGGATGATTCATCACCAATTACAGTTGATAATATAAGCCATGCATGTTGGGTCGGAGATGGACGCAATCGGTATTTATTATTGAAAAATTTAAATATCGTTGTTATATGTGATTTAACCATTTTATTTTTCTAGTTATTTTGACAAACCACTTCAATTTATTGTGTTCGAGAATGGAAAGGCCGGTTTTAGCGGGGAGGTTTGAATTAAATTTATTATTAAAGTAAAATAAGAATCAACATTTTATATGCTTACTATCATGTTTCATTTAGCATTCTTCTATGGATGGTACTCCAACGAATAGATTGAATGACTTTGTTTGCGACGTAATTGCAAATAATAAAGTTGATCATGGATCTCCAAACATTCGTTCTAATCTTTCGGTTCCAGAACAACTTCATTTTAACTTGACCAGTGAAATTCTTTCAGCTATTTCAAAATCCGAGAAAAATTTTGATAACCTTGTTGCCAAACATGACCTTCGTGTATTAGTATATGAAGGATATGGCAAAAATATTATCAAAAAACTTGGAGTTTCGCCAGATGCTTACGTACAAATGATCATCCAATTAGCTTATTATAAAATGTATGGTGTCAATAGGGCAACTTATGAAAGTGCTCAAACTAGGAAATTTCAACGTGGTAGAACTGAAGTGTGTAGAACAGTGTCTGTTGACTCTGTGAATTGGATCAAGGCTATGGAGGATCCGCAAGTTTCGGTAATTCTTATTCTGCTTATTCTTCTCTATAATCGAAAATCTATAATTAAAAAGGTTAATTATATATAGGTTGAGACTAAGGCTGAATTGGGACGCAAGGCAATTGATGCCCATGTCAGATATATGGCAGACGCCGTAGAGGGCAAAGGCTGTGATAGACATTTATTCGGTAAAGAAGATTCCGAATTTTTACAAAAAAAACTAGTTGAACTTTATATTTATAAGTGCCTAATAGAACTTTATATGTGAATTGTTTTAAAGGACTTCGTATGTCTTTGAAGCCCGATGAGCAGAAACCAGCAATTTTCACGGATCCGACTTTTGCAAAGTCGACACATTGGAATCTTTCAACTTCACAATTGTCGTCAGAACATTTTCAAGGTTATGGATGGGGAGAGGTATGTTCGTTCGTACCAATTTGTTAGGATGAGTTGTGTTATATATATTTTATATATTAAGCTAACGTTTTGAAATAATTAATTAGGTTGTGCCCGATGGTTTGTAATTAATATGTATTGTCTTTTAATAAATAATTAAACAATCACTTTTATAATAAATTTTATCTTTTCATAGGTTATGGCATCGCTTATATGATCAATAATGGTGCGTCAATATTCTATCCAATTGGTTCTTTTAAATATTGCTTCTTCACTACTAATCAGTTTTTGGTTTATTCAGATTTTTTAAATTTCAATATTGTTTCCATGAGACTAAATAATGATGTGATGTGGCATTATATTAAGGAATCGGCCACTGAAATGCGCCAAGTATTTGAAAAGGCGAAAGTCAAGTCGGAGCAAGTTAAAGCCAAATTATAATTTAGATATTATAATTCAGTAATGGAATATACTTATATTTTAATTGTATTTTACATTCGATGTAATATAATAAAGATTTAAATTTTTTTGAATGAATATTTAGAATTCAGTTATTGAGTAATTGTGATTTATTGATATTTGAGATAATATAAGGTTGAGAATTTTTTTTTAAAATGCAAAGTTTCCAAATTTTGATTTTCTTCACATTTTGCAATTTTCATATTATAGAGATTACTTACGAACATAAATATCTTTATAGTTTCTAAATAATTAATACATAAGATTGCTTATTGGGATCGTTTTTCAAGCAGCAAGTGATACAAAAATTTTACTGCGGAAACCAATCAAAATCGCCAATGAGTAACACAACTTTAGGTTGCAGTAAATCATCGTACAACACTTATAGAAGGTCATCCTTGAAAGAAACAAGCTCTAATGAGGCATCAAGGTATGTGTAATATTCTTTGATTAACTCTTAAGTGTTGTTCTAATTAAGTTCTAAATAATCATATATATCAGCTCAACTTCGAGAGTGAGCGCAACTTCGAGTGCAACCTCAAGCGAAACATTAATCACTGTTGCCAAGACAAGGTGAATAAATTAAAATTGGTCGTGTAATTATAACTCCTTTAGGCTAACTCTTCAGAATTGTTCTTAATTTATTATAATAGCGATGCTACCTTCCAACCTCCTAAATCCAATGACGTTTTGACAAAGTTTCGAAATTTGTGGTGGTCCGATGGAAATATACACCCGAGTGCAAATTGGGATGAAGCTTCGTAAGTAATTTCTTGCCTCACTGCCTTCGTCGTTTTCATGTGATTTACATCTTTTGTCGCTTCTTGGATAAGGTTACCCTATTTATTGAAAAGTGATGTTGATTGGGAGAAATATTCAGAGCGAACTGATATGTATAATGTGCATGGAAGATGGGAGTGGATAAATGGAAATGTTTATGTGTATGAATTGCCCTTATTGCCTCATGAGATTTGTATTGGTGCAATCGAAGGTCGAGTTCGTTTGGCAGATCCACAAGAAGAGCTCATTAGTTTAAGATCCGCACGTAAGTATTTAACATTATTTTTTTTATTAATAATGCTTTAGATAACTCGAACATGTTTTCATTATTGAATAAAAGGTACAAAAGCCGGTAATAAAGGAAAAGAAGCAGATGGATCTTTTATACCACGTCGCAAACCTAAAGTAAATTCAAATGGATGTGAAGGCCCTAATTCTGTATGTGGAGCTTTAAATATTTTCTATTATCATAATCAATCAAATTTCTAATATCGGTGATTATATTTTTAGCTTTTACCGTGGCCCAATCTCATAATCGAAGTCGCTTCCTCGGAATCTGAAGCACATTTATTAAACGCTGTAAAAAATTATTGGCTCTGTCCAGGTAGAGCTCATGATGCAATTGCAGTAAAATTAATAAGATCTGATACAATTATATCAAAAATGAAAGTAAGTAATAATTTAAAGATATAATTTTTTTGGATTAGTTTCTTTCCATCATTTTTACGATTTTTATTTTTTGACAGGTATGGCATTTTTGCACAGATGAAAGGACACAGAGTGGGGAATTAATACCTGTTTCGGTAAGATATATTATTACTTAATTAATATAATAAGAAAATGATTTTAATATACTTATATTTAAAGGAATTTGTATCCGAAACTATTGATGATAATGATCAAATTCTTGTTCAGCCTCAACAACATATTATTAACCTTAAAAGAAATTGTCTCTTTCATGGAATGCCACCAACTTTTCAAACACCTACATCAATACCCGATCCTCTTACCGTAGATTTTTATTATGTCATACGTGCTATGTTAGATGTAGATGTACTTAGGATTTCATAAAATTCATCTTTTATTTTTTTTTCTGATATCACAACCAATTCTTTGATATAATGAAATCATAATATTATTGTAATTATTTGAATCTCTTAACTCTTTTTTATTGATAAAAAGTTATGATAATGCAGTCAAAATAAATAATAAAGATCGACCAACTTTTGTGTTAATTCGTGTTAAACTTATTGAATGATTTTTCAATAGAGATCTTATCGAATTGTTCCTGATTACGCGATCCATAATTCGAAACAATTAAGCCGGAAGGAACGATCCTTTATTATTCTTTTAGAATGATTTTCTTATCATTTGTTTAAAATAATTCTTTTATTGTTTCTTTAGAATGATGTTTTTTATCATTTGTTTATATCAATATATTATCATTTTACTTAAACGATTTTCTTATTGTTTATTTGAAATGATAATTTAATCATTTCAGTTGAACAATTCTATTATCATTTATTTTAAACAATATTTTATCATTTTAATTAAATAATTTTTGTTTTATCATTCATTTAGATCAATATATTATAACAATATTCTTATCATTTATTTGAAGAAATAATTTAATCATTTCAGTCAAACGATTCTATTATCATTTATTTGAGACAATATTTATTATTTCAATTGAATAATTTTCTTATCATTCATTTGGAATGATTATTTAATTATTCCAGTCAAATGATTCTATTATTATTCTTTTAGAATAATATTTTATCATTCTAATTAAATGATTCTATTATCATTTGTTAAGAATGATTTTTTATCATTCTAATAAACTAAACTTTCAGATTAAACCAAAATTTTTCTTATAATTTAACATTTCTTTGCTAAAATAATATTGAATATTTGAAGAACTTGCTAAATTAAAAGAATGATTTTATTAATATTAATTTAATGTACTAATTGAGTTTATTTCTAGTATATATAGAAATATTTATATAAATAAACTTAATTTTTTCACTTTTTAAAATATAATTTTAACTCAATCTTTATCTTTTTACAATTATTTTCAGATTTTTTCTTTTTTATATACCACTAAAATACCAAAAAAATAATCTTTTCAAGAACAAAAAAACTTATAGTAAAATTCAAAATATAGTAGATATTTGACAAAAAATTAGCCAAGAACTTGTCAGGTTATCAGGTTGTCAAGTTATCAGGTTTTCAAAAAAAATAACAAATATGTGATACTTATCATAATATACTATTTTTTTTCAATATTTTTCACATTATGCTCAAATTAAAATTAAATAAACATTTCTATTAATTGATAGTTTAAAAGAACTTAGAAAACGTGTTTTGTAGAAAAATAGCAAAATAATTTAACATTTATAAATCTTCAATTTCTAAAGTTTTTTTATATTTCAAAAAATATGGATATGTAGAAAATTTATAGTTACAAATGAAATAATCAAAAAAATTTAATTTGTGATTCGTGTAACAACCAGAGAAAATTACTATGCTAAATTGGGGGAAATTTTTGTAGATCAAATAGTCTTAATGAAAAATTAGCATTTTTGACGCATTTATTAAAGGATCACTAGTCATAGTTACACAACCAATTTATTAATTGTTATAATCATCATGACGTAACATTATCTAATTTCTACTTTATCGATGTTTTGATGAATATTTCTAACGACTTTAGTTTGAGAGAAAGGCTGATTTCAAGCTAACTTGAACTTGCGATTTCAATAATGGCAAATTTTAGATTTTACAATTTTTATAATATTTTTATATATTCTTTTACCAAACAGTTTTTTATATTATTATTTCATGTTAT